AAGTATGATATTTGTCTTATAAATTATTAGATAAAAAATTTATTCAAGTTCTTAGCCGGCTTAGCCGGCCAAGGCTTTTCTACCGGCTAACATCACTATCAGAGATATCAAATATAAATTTAAACTTTTATAGCAATAAAGATGATAATTAAAGTCTCCACCTATTTGGATTTCGCGAAACGTCGAAACCTCGATTAGCAACAGTAACATTGAAACGTCAAAACTACGCGAAACCAATCAGCCAATAAAAATCGGGAGATCATCTTTAACAATTTGTACAAACCAAGACTTGGTAGTAAAAAGGTTTGGTAGTAGTAAATGAAAAGCTTTTTTTTACTTGTCCTTCAAACAGAAGGCTTAGCATTGAGGTCGCTGAATGAAGCATATTTGGGATTTGAAACAATAATTAATCGAAATTAATCTATCTAGACGAATTTTACTTTGATCTAATCACTAATTCATGGCCGACTTTATTTCATAAATCAAATAATGTTATTAAAGATGACTTCAAGATTTCAATAAAATTTTTCTGACCCCTCAATTTGAAAGCTACTTTAAAAATATATTAAATGCTTGAAATATTTTGTGCAAACTAATGACCAAAAAAACTTGGAAATAAAACATCAAGGAAACTTTTAGTTTTTATCAATTACTCAAAAAATGCATCAGTTGGATTTCATCGGATGATCCGGATAATCTGTCATAGTCAGGTTGAACGGATTGAACGTAGAGGCAATGAATAATAATTTACTGAATAATTAATTTAATGACCAAATGAATATCTGAATATTTTGATTATTCGTCAAATGATTAGTAAAATTAATTCTGTGAAGATTCAGTGAATATTCATTGTTAACAATAAATTTTAAATCTATTAATCATTTTACATTCTATCAAAACTATCAATATGTATTTCAAAGAAACAATATTTTCAAATAAAGCAAGTTCTTTTTAAGGTCATTGTATTTCCAATAAGTGTATAATACCGTTAGATATGGATTCATCATCAGAAGCTTAGAGACATTGACTCGACAAATAGCTCCTTTAGATTCTTTCTCCACCATCTTTTGCGATTTCAGTTTTTTCCATCAAGTTCCATATCCAACTTGACTTCTTAAAACCACCCTTTTCTTCAAAATATGAGCACAAGAAGGCTCTCATTATTCTATTATTACTTTATCCTATTATAGTAACTGAAGGCTCTTCTTTCATCTTAAATGAAATCATTAATTTAACT